AAAAAAAAAAAAAAAACCTTATTTACAAACCCAAAGAAAAAAAAAAAAAATCTTTCATATCATACCTCCATTTTCTTGGCACACCATGACCATGGAAGAACTTCCCGTCTCCAACCAGTGCGTGACGACCTACACATTAGAAACCAAAAACCTCTCATACACTCACCAAAACCCAAGTCATCACCAATTTACCCGCCTATTATCCTCCAAGATATCACTATCACCACCACCACCCAAGTATATCATCAAGAACGTCACCCTCGTGGCCCGGCCCGGCCAGCTCACGGCCATCGCCGGGCCTAGCGGTGCTGGCAAAACCACCCTCCTCGAGATCCTCGCCGGCAAAATCGACCCCGGAAAACTCTCCGGTCAGATCCTCGTCAACGGCAGCCCAATCGACCCTTCCACTTTCCGCCGCTTGTCGGGCCACGTCAGCCAAGACGATGCCCTCTTCCCCCACCTCACCGTCGAGGAGACCTTCACCTACAGCGCCCTCTTCCGGCTTCCCCGCCACTGGGCCAACCACCGAGCCCGCCAGGTCATCCGAAACCTCGGCCTCGACCATGTGGCCAACTCGAGAATAGTCGAGATCTCCGGCGGCGAGAGGCGCCGGGCCTCGATCGGCATCGAGTTAGTCCACAACCCGGGAGTCTTGCTCGTGGACGAGCCCACCTCCGGCCTCGACTCCTCCTCCGCCCTCCATGTTGTCTCTCTTCTCCGGTCGGCCGCAGCGGCCGGAAAAACTGTCGTCCTCACCGTCCACCAACCGGGCGCCCGAATCCTCGACCTCCTCGACAATCTAATCCTCGTTTCGAACGGGCTCGTCGTGCATCACGGCCCGCTCGACCTTCTTGAGTCCCGTCTCCGCCTCGCCGGCCTTGTCATCCCCCTGCGCCACGTCAACATCCTCGAGTTCGCCATCGAAATCGAAATCGAAACGGAAACTCTATCATCATCTCACCAAGAAACGATGACGACGATAGAGCGTGGGCCCCCACGGAGTACACTCGTGGGCCCCACGGCGATGACCAATTTCTGCGCAAACTCCCGGCTCGACGAGATGCTCGTGCTTGGAGACCGGTTCCGGAAGAACATCTTCCGGACGAGGGAGCTCTTCGCTGCGCGGGCGGTGCAGGCGGTCATCGTGGGGTCCGCGCTCGGGACCGTTTACATGAAAGCGGTGCGGGAAAAGAACTCGGGACTACTCGAGACGCGGCTCGGGTTCTTCGCGTTCACGCTAAGCTACCTGCTAACGTCATCAACCGAGGCCCTACCGATATTCCTAAGAGAGAGGAAGGTGCTCGAGCGGGAGGTCTCGTCCGGGGCGTACCGAGTCTCGTCCTACGTGGCGGCCAACGCACTGGTATTCGCCCCTTTCCTTCTACTAGTAGGGATCCTCTACAGCGCGCCCGTTTATTGGTTGGTCGGGCTCAGGCGCGACGTGGACGGGTTCCTCTACTTTGCGGTGGTCGTGTGGGCGGTGGTGATGGCGTCAAACTCGTTCACGGCGTGCTTCAGCGTGGTTGTACCGGATTTCATCGTGGGGTCGAGCGTGATAGCCGGGCTGATGGGCTCGTTTTTCCTGTTCTCGGGATATTTTGTGGCGAGGGAGGATATGCCGAGGTACTGGGTTTTGATGCACTATTTGAGCCTTTTCAGGTACCCATTTGAGAGCATGGTGATGAATGAATATGGCGGGAAGAGGTGCGTGGAGTATGTGGGGGTGGAGTGTGTGTTGTATGGGGAAGAGTATTTGAGGGAGAAGGGTTTTCGGGAGTGGGAAAAATGGAGTCATTTGGGCGTGATGTTTGGTTTTGCGGTTGGGTACAGGGTCATTTGTTTTCTCATTTTGTGGTGGAGAGGGTGTGGGGCGAGGAAATGAACAAGATTATACAATTTCGGCAGATCCTATTATCTCGCTACGTACCATTCCGTCGATCGTTGGATACACATATAGTTAGTATAAGATAGATGATCCATCGATTAAAAACACCGCGACGAAATGGTATCGGGACCATACCATTTCCCATACAATTCATCATCTCACATTGACATTGTGTAACATTTTATTTTTATTTTTTTTATCTACTCACTTTTAAAATAAATAAAAACATCTTAAGAAAACATTAATTAAATTTTTTTCCATTTTAAACTGTCACGGTCACGTACTAAAAAAATGAGATATGAGTAGAAATTTAATTATTTTTTTCCCTTTTTTCAAGTTTTTATTATTTTTATCTTTTTTACATGAAAAGTATAACAATGTTAATCTTTATTGTTGATGACGGCTGACACCAAACTAATTAAGTACGTTTAAGTAGAGATTAGTTATGAAAACGAGCTAATATAGACGATAAGAGAGATCGCCAAATAAACAAGAGATCGACATAAGAGTAATTGTGAAGGAAATATATTTTCGATTGTATGTATTTGAAAATCGTGTTTTTGCTTTGCTTTGTTGTATTAATCTGATACATTAAATGCAGATTTTATACATGAATAAAGTGAAAGAGCAATGATTGTCGTTTGCCAACTAGGCACAGCGTGCCTGATACTGATACGTGTCCGCATGAATATGCACATTTTTATGGTGAGATCGGTTGGAAATGTTACGGTCCTATTACGGTTCTATTCTGTCGGTTATTTTAACCATTAAATCTACATGTAGTTAAATAAAATATATGATCCAACTATTAAAACATTCGACGAAATTGTAACGAGACCGTAGTATTTCCATAAAGAAAATATCTTGCACAACCTAAGATAAGAATTTGCATTTGCATTTGTTACCGTGGTAGTGTACGGTAAATCTCCGCTACAATCCATCACTAGTTATTCCGTAACCTCTATCTTCTTGCCCAAATTTCAACTGTATAAAAAAGCTGTATAAAAAAGCTATCATTACTACAGTTCCCGAGACGTCTGCAATTTGTGTTCGCACCCTTTCAATTGTTATCCCTACGCCTCTTCTGTAAGTATCTGTTCATATTTTCAATCGATCGTTTCGTTTATCGATCCGGCTTGTTTCAATCATTTGACTTGCGCTTCGCGTGTGCGAAATTTTTGTCCTGTTTGTTTCGATCGGATTTCCTTATGCTGTGTTTGGATCTGCGCATGTTTGTTTTATCTGATTATGTGGGGTTTGTGTTGGAAGCTGATTTATTGTGATGTTTTTCGCCATATTTGTTCCATATATATGTTATGGTGTGTTTGGGTGATTTGGGGTTGTGTAGTTCTACCTGGGCTCTTGTGATTTCATGGATAATGGAGTTGTTGTAGCTTTTATTTGATAAAGATTCAAACTTTCAGTGGAAGATCAGTCGAATCTCTTGTTTATACTTTTGCCCGTGTGTATCTGCCTAATTTGTTGGTTTAGCTGAGCAGATTCTAATCGATACTTTGAATATGAAGGAATAGAACTGGCAAAATCTGGTAACCGAATGCATCGTATGGCTGCATCTCCATGTACCTCACTGAGTTTAACTGATGATCACAAAACTAACTAATGAACTTATTTATTTTTTCCGAGTTTCTCATTTATACCTAGAAATTTGAATAGGACCATGTGGGGTGGAGCATGTGAAATATGCTTATTTCGAATTACATTTCATTCAGCTTGTATTAGCTTTGAGAAATGCTTCCTTACTTTTAGAAGTGTAAAGTCGCGCCATTTCGAAACAGTGCACATAGCTGTTTATAAAGAAGTATGACTTCTTATTTCCCAGAAGTATTAATTTTTTTCAAAAGTATGACCATCTCATGTAGGATTCACGAGAGACGATCTTACAGTAGACCTACTGTTCTCCATTAGCAGTATGACTTGCGTTTCGTGCAGTTTGTGCGCTGAAATTCAAAAGACTTCTAATAATTAGGAATTCTTGTGTTTAGACTTTCGTGGATGGCGGATGAAGAAGGGAAAGAAAATGCTCCCAAAGAGTGGGAGGTCGTGTCACTCACTGCATCAGCTTATGCTGCTGCCCCTGGACCCAAAGAGCTCGACTCTACCCAAGGAAACCCGGATAAGTTAGACTCAAAGCACGAGGCTGAATCTTCTAGCCCCTTGTTCATGTCCAGACACTTTGTCTTTCCTCCTAGCCAGCACGAAAATTTGCCTCTCGAACCCGAATTTATTGTTCCTCAGTTGGATAGAGAAGGAGATGTTGAATCAGAAGTGATGGACGATGAAGATCCCCATTTTGATGATAAAGATGTGACCTTTGAGAATGCACAGAGCATTTGCAGCTACGAGGAGGGGCTTTGTAACGAGGAGGGTGAGGGGACTGGTGATTCGGACGATCCTCCCGATAGTGCCTTGGGTTCGGGCCCGCAAGATATACAGAAGCCCGTGGAGGAAGACGAACATGATGATGACGGCATTCCTAGCATAGCTTGGTGGAAAAGAAGGGCTGTTTCTCTGTATGCCCATGCGAAAGAAGCGAATACGTTTTGGTCGGTTTTTATTGCGGCAGCTATCATGGGGCTCGTCGTTATCGGTCACAGGTGGCAGCAGGAGAGTTGGAAGGTTTTGCACTTGAAGAGGCAGTTTGGTATTAGTGATGAGGTAATTAACTTTATAGTTTGGTTATATCATGCTCACGATTTGGTTAATCGGATGATTAACTTACTGCTTTCCTTTTGCGTTATCGTTAAATTGTCAAGAGAGAGCATGTTGATTTTCTGATTTCTCCTTTTCAGTTTGTTATAAGCTGTTTACCTTGTGATGTTTCATGTTCACATCTACAGAAAATGAACATGATAATAAATAAATAAAATTGTAGAATAGGGCTATATATCAGTTTCTTCTATACGAGAAGACCTAGATTCTTCGTAGAAGTATACTTGCATCTAAATGTCATGCTTCAAATTAAAATCGAGCAATACATATCAGTCCTGTTTGTCTTTGAAAGGTGCAATATAAAACTATCTGACGGGTATCTCAACTTCTTCTGCAATCGGTTTTCCCATTTTAATCTGATGAATCCTATGTGCCAGTGGTACCTTCGATAAGCAGAGTTGTGATTTACTGGACTAGGAACTGTTTTGTAGCTTTGAATCTAGTAGAATATAAGCAGTTTTGAGTTGTGAACTTCGTATACAATTATAGTAACTCTTGAAAGAAGTTTTCAAGACCTCATTATCTTGTTTCTGTTTGTTTTCAGTATCATGTTTTTCTATCATGTGCAGAGGCTCGGCAGGATGCTGGGCCCCATGACTCGATTCAAAGATGTGATTGTGGGTGGCCACCGGCGAGGCTCGCTCGTCAGAGGAGGCACCTCAACCGAACACTAGAGATGATGACGATAAGTTAATTGTAATTTCAAGCGAGACTATATGTGCTTTCACTTGGATTGAATATCCTCACAATGTGCTTCTACACAGCAATATATATATTATATTGTTTGATGATTTGGTGCCGTGAGGTGCAGAACTTGGAATATTGTTTGCGCGGATATTTAGAACCTTTTCGTATGCATGTGACGACATCCTTTGCTAGTTTGTTGACACGTCTTTACATAGGAAATACGACATTCTGCGCGAATCGTCTTCTTTTATTTTCTTTCCTCCAAGCAACTGTTTCGTGTATGTGTTGCTCGACACATGTGTGTTGCTGTGAAAATCAGGATTAATGTTTTGCCAAAGGCTGATGTGGGTAGAAGCAGCTTATGATCAACATCTTTTTACACTTAAAAGTTGATATGAAAAGCAGGATTTGTGCTAAATTAGCTAATTGGACTCAAAATGTTAATGCTGGATAGGCTAAGAAGAGTAGCCTTTTGGTCAGACATGATTCATATAAATTTTAGCTATTTAGTATTTACCAAACACTTATTACTTGACAAACCACTGATTGAATCAGCCAGGCAAACTAATTAATAATACAATACACCATTCCTTAATACAACTACCATATATGTCAATAACCTATATGTTGGAATGGGCTATGAATTTATGGTGTCATTGTTGGTCATTCACTACAAAGAAAATGATAAAAAAAAAAGCTGATGGAAAATTCTAATAGAAATATATATTCCGATGCAATTCCAACGACAATTCAAAAGATATTCCAATGCTATTATTTTTGTTGAAATTTTTTAATAGATTCCAACGGAAATTCCAACTAAAATATCCCGTTGGAATAAGTTCTCCATTAGAATTTCTGTTGGATTTTACGATTTCAATGGTAGTTTTTTAATGGGGGTGGAAATAAAAATTTCATCGGAAATTGAATATTCTAATGCAAATTAATTCCTACGGTAATAAATCGTACGAAAAATAGTTGTTGGTATCATCAAATTCCATCTAAAATTCTAATGGAAAACTCCATTCCAGCGAAATATTTTTTTGTTGGAATTTCTGTTGGAACCGTTCCAATGGAAACTATAACATTGGAATATCCATTGAAATTTTCATTAGCATATAGTACCGTAGGCGTTTATGTTGTAATATAACATTTTTTTTTTTTTTGTACTGAAGTATAAAATAGAATACATAATGTCATTTTCGGATTAACCAAAACTTCTATACTTATTTATTTATTTAACGCATATGTATTATATAGTATTTTTTTTTTTTTTTTT